TGGCACTTGGGGATGTGGTTTAGCGGTGATTGTTTTGGTGCTGGGGTGATGGTGGGACTGGGTGATCTCGAAGGTCTCTTCCAACCTTGGTGATGCCCCAAGAGCGGGTGGTTTGCAAAAGGCAGGGGGTGAAGGTGGCAGCAGCCTCACACCAGGGAGTACCTGGCTGTGCTCTCTCTTTCCTAAGCTTCTGAGGCTCAGCTGTGCCCACACGTGTAGCTGGGCTGTGCTGGATCTGTGGTGCCGCAGCAGACGGTCCGTGGGCAGCACGGTGAGGTTTGGGGACACTCATGCCAGTACCCACAGCTGCCGTGGGCTGCAGCTCTCCCACAGCCCTGCTCTGTAAAGATCCCTTGACTGTAACTCATCTATACGTGTATTTGGTTCCTTAAGCGTTTATGTCAAGCTTCTTTATGTTTATGTGCTTCTTACTGTCTTATTTTCCTCCTGTTTTTGTCCTGTGTGTGAGGTCTGGCTGTTACTAGCAGTGTATATCCAGGTCATGCTGCATACAGATGTTTTTCTTCTTTAGTGCCACGTGTTCGTTACACAAACGTTAATCCTTGGGTAAGCTCCTCATTAGTCTGCACAATTCCTACCTCCCCTGTAGCAACAGTAATTAGCCATTGCATATTTCTGTATTTTCCTGCAGAATATTGCAGCAGAGCTGTGAGATGGTGGGGAAAGCTCTGGGGCAACCTGGGATGGGAGTTTGTCCCTCTGACTTGTGTTCCTGCTCACTCCAGCCTTACTCTTCCCTGTGCTGGGAGCCCAGGGGTTGGTTTCTCTTGTTTCTTCATGGTTTATTTGAGGGATTTTGTGCCACGTAATTAAAAGGCCCCTGGAGCTGAGCTGTTGAAAGCTGTGTGGGAGCCGGGGTAAGGTCAGGTTTCTGCATTGAAGGTCATGTTTTTGGTGCGGGCGACTTGAGCTCGTAGCAGGGACGGGGGTTCAATCGCCGAGTCATTGCAAAGATCAGGTGTTGCTAGCGAGGTATTCCCTGCACCTTCCAAAGATGGCGTGAGATTTCTCCCCTAATCCCCAGTTTTTCTGCTGACATTATTCCAGATCCATCGTGTCTGTCCCGTCCAGCTGCTCCGCTCTCGGCCAGCGGCTCCTCGCACTGGTGCTGCCCCTCTGTGAGGTCCTCTCGCCCCTCAGTCCAGATTTTTGCACTGGCATTTTCTGATGATCCCAATTGCTGGCTCTGCTGGAGTTTTCTTTGTGTCTTCCCTCTCTTTTTCTCCCTCTTTTTTTTCTTCTTCCTCGTTTTTTTCTTCCCCAATAGTGCAGTTAGTCCTTTGCCCAACAGTTTTCTTCTCCTAACCTCTCAAAAAGATAGTTCTGAAAATATGAGCTGTTGAGCCTTGTTCTGAGGTGGCAGGTGTTGGTTATTGCTCTCCAGGGGTGGTGGGGGAGGCTGGCAGGGTGGGGAGGGATGGGACGGACAAGCTGCCTGTCCCCCCTGAGCCTGGAACATCCTGCTCTGAACCTCATGGAACACAAGCTGCTCACCCCCTGAAAAATCCCAATATTAGAAATCCTAGACATGTGTGCAGAGGGAAGGTGGTTTGGCAGAGCCATCCTGAAAACATTCCATGGGATATTTAATAATGTTGGGTGATGGGGCTGGCAGAGGTCCCACTGTTGGGTAGCACCGAGGGCTGTGCTGGTGACACACATGTGTGCACACACACACTGGTAAGGAATTTTTTCCTTTGTTTGGGGTTACAGTGCTGAGTAAACAGCACAACTCAGACAGGACTTGATCAAATCTCCCTGGTTTTGCTGCTGTGGACGTGTTTTTGTGAAAACCCTGCAGGTTGGTGTCACTGACTGGTGTCACTGACCACGGCATTCTCAGGGGCAAAGGAGAAAGGGGCTCTTTGTGCCTTTTTTTTTTTTTCCTTTAATAGTTTCCTGCTAGAATAATTAGCTCGTCTGAAGCTAATATATTTCTTCTAAACACAAGCTTCCAGAACCGAGGAAAGCGAGCAGTGTGCCTCTTACTGTCAAGGATTACTAGGAATTAATCTTTCAGTGCAAAGGCCACTAATCTCGGGCATGCAAACAGGGTTTATTTAGCTGCGTGCCAGCGCTTAGAGCAGTGATGTATGAAATCCCTGGCAAATTCAGATGCTCTTGCTGCTAATCGCCTGCCCACCTGCTCACCCAGCTCCGTCCCCTGCATCCCGGAATCTGCCTATGGGTGTCAGTCACTGGAGATGGATGGTGACACGTGGAGCTGCTGGTTGCCAGCCTGGGCTCTCCTGTGCTGCCCGGCCCGCCCTGGGGCAGCTTTGCTGTCAGTGAGTCCCAGCTTTCCCGTTGTGCTGGGAGCTGCCTGGGAGCTCAGCCTGGCACTCGGATTTTTAAGCAAATAACCAAGCTGGGAGCAGTGGGAGAACTGGCTGAACTACTGACATATGATGAGCATCTTGCCATGTTCCTGGTGCAGTACACAGGTAACACCTGGGGGGTTGTGGGATTCTCTGAATGTGCTACCACATCGGATTTTCTGGAGTTGCCAGAGGTAACTGTCGGAATTCTGCAGCTCTCATCAGTGTGCCTGGCCAGCCCCTGGGTCAGATTGGTGATTGTGAAGCTCTAACAGTGGTATCTAATCCAGGAGTGCAGTAGAGAAACATGCAGTAGTTTTTGAATGTGGGAACCAGTCTCTGAAAGGAAACGGTTGGGGTTAAAATGTAACTTCAAAGCCTTGGTGTCTCTCTGCCTTCCCTGCTGGTCTCTTTTCTCTGTGTTCTAATCGATTGCTGCAGGTGTACTTTGGTGTCTGCTAAAGTGCATTTCTTGAGGACTTAAAACTAGCATGTGTAATCACATGGCACAGTGTATCCCAGAATCCAGTTTATTCCTAAAAGCACAGGGACCCTGCTAAGGCTGAGCACTGCTTATTTCCTATGTTTGCCAATGTTGGCAAAAGGTAAATCCGTATTTATAGTAAAGCCTGTGTCAGCCCATTTCTGGAGTTCCCCTGATGCTGGGTAAGAGAAGTTTGGTAAGTGTTCAGAGGAGTCTGGGGGACCCCAAAATGTCGCCTGAGGGGTTCAGGGGGACCTGGGGTACCCCAGAAAGTGAGTTGAGGAGGTCAGAGGAACCCAGGGGTGCCCAAAATGGAACCCAAAGGAGTTCACAGGTTTTCATGGCATCCCAAAAGTGACCTGAGGAGGTTGGAGGACTCCAGGGGACCTGAGGGGTTCAGAGGAGCCCACGGTACCCTAAAATGTCACCTGAAGGGTTCAGCGGAACCTGGGGCACCCCAAAACATGACCCAAAGTAGTTCATAAGGTTCCAGGACACCCCAAAATATGACCATACAAGCACCAGCCTGCATGGACTTTTTAAGTGTTATCACTGAAATGCTTTTAGGTGTGTGACAGTGTCAGAGTACCTGTTAACAGTTTTAATTTGAGTTTTGGGGCCGAGGTTTTATGTTTCTGCTGCTTATTAACTAGTTGGATGTCAGGAAAATGGTTCCAGTGCCTGATCAGGGTGAGGCTGCTGCTGGAGTGTGTGGTTCCAGAGCAGTGCCAGGCTTGTGGCAGAGCTGCTGTCACCACTTAACTGAATGTTCCTGAACCCAGAAGGGGAGATTTTGCCCAAATCCTGAGGTGGCAGCCCCAGTGGTTGCTGTGTTCCTGTGCAGGCACAGTAGGTCTGTGTGGGAGCAGCACAATCCCTTGTTTGGGTTGAGATTTCCAGTGTGTTTGGCTCTTGATAATGGGAGTGATCTTAAACCAGGCTTTTCAGTTCACCTCAGGGATTGTTTTGTGTTTCTTCTTCCCCTGGTAATTAAGGCAAATGGCCAAGCTCTGTTTGCAGGGTTGGAAAACCAAGTCCTGTCCCGGGTCTGGCATGGGACCCAGTGAAGATGGATACTTCCCTTGATTTATGCCTGGAACATTGAGATCTTCCCTGTCTCTCCAGCCCCTTTCTGAGCGTGTGCTGTGAAAGCTGCAGCCATATATAGCCCCAGCATGGACCTGGATTGATCCTGATGGAATGGGGGGCCGTGCATTGTTAATGCTGTTTAGGCCAGCAGGAAGCTGCAGCCTCTCTTCCCATAAAACACACCTCAGCACCTACTTCCAGAGAAGGAAGACCACCCACAGCAACCTGCTGTGCTGTGGGAGAGGCCTTGCTCAGAGTCACCTTCTGCTCATCTTTAAGAATCTCTCCTTTTTTTTTTTCCCCTCCCTGATCCGTTTTTTTCTAGTGAGGAATCTTCTAGCCCAAGTTTTTTATTTTTAAAGGTTTAGTCACTGCATTATGGCAGTGCCTGATGGCTCACTCCTGAAAATTGACTCTTCTGAAAATCCCTGGAGATACGTAAGGGAAGTGCTTGGAGGTGAAGGGCACACTGGCACCTGTGCCACGTATGGCTCTGGAAATGCTGACACTGGTCTGACACTCTCTGGAAACCCAGATTTTCTCCTTACCCCTTACCTACTGCATAGCAAATACAGAAGTCTGCTGATTTTGGCCTTCCAGGCTGGCTTGCTACAGGAAAACTGAGCAGACCCCCATGGCTTGCTCCAGTGCTGGTCCCTTCCCTCCTGAGCAGGGCAACTTGGAATGGCCAAGGACACTTTGTTCTGGTTGCACAAAAGACAGAGAGGTGCTTGTGTTTGTGCCTCACGGTTGTAGTGGCTGAGCCTGTCAGCTTTTACTCTGCTCTGTGCCCAGGAGAGAGGATTTTCTGCAGCTTCAGCTTTCTTCTGAGCACATTCTCTGTATCCAGCATTTGGAGCTCCGATTCTTGGCTGAGATGACAGGGGAGAGGTAGTCAGACCTGAAGGTGCCTGCTGTGCGTGGCATTTATCACATGTAGGATGGAAAATCTGACGTAATGAAGGGTTTCTTACTTCAAAGAGTGTTGGGAATCTTCTCTCTGGCCTGGTTTAACTCTCAGAGCAAACTCTGTGCTGCAAGGGAGTGCCAAGCATGGTCCCTGCTGGAAGTAGGTCTTGGGATCCCAGAAGTCCTTGTTGGAGGAACTACCAGGATCTCTTTGAGTGGGACCAAGAGTGACTGCATTCTCTCCAGTGCTGTTTGTAGACAGCACTGCCCACAAAATATATTCACTGTGAAGGAGCTGCTCAGTTTCCAGCCTGTGCCTGCAAAGGAAAATACGCTGTGGTTCGTGATCTCATCAGCTTCCATTTTCTGTGACTTCTCAGTATTTGGCTTGTGGGATTCTAGTTGGAGGCTGTATTAGGACAGTAGTGGGCTTGTCTTCCAGTGCCCTGGTACCATGTGAAGTTGTAAACATAGAGCTTTAAAGTCCTGTTAAACCCCAGAAAGTCCTGTTTCCACCTTTGGAAGAGTTTTAGGCACTTTGGAACAGGGTATTGAAGAAGCAAGGCAGCTTTAAACCACTTCTTGTGTGGAGAAATAATTGGCTTGGAAGGAAAAAAAAACATGTGTAAGTGGGAATGAAGTTTCACAGCAAGTGCAAACATGGTGCAAATGTTCCTTCTTTCCTCGTGCAGTGTGGTAAGGTTTTTGGACACCTTGAGTTTCATTTGAAGCAATCACATTTTCTCTCTTTAAGTCTTGTGTCCTAATGCAGAGAATCACAGGAAGCAATTGTTGGCCTGTGAGATATCAGTTGGATAAAAGGCTCTAGGAAAGCCAGTTCTAGAAATCTGGGAGCAATATAATAATTTTTGGTCTTGTTCGTACTCTTGTGCCCTCACTGGGCTGGTGTGGCTGGCTTTGGATTGCTCTGGGAGACACAACTGAGGTTCAAAACAACCCCAAATCCTCCTGTGGGAGCACATGAGGGATTTGGCTCTGACCTCCTTGCTCCTCTTGTTGTGGGCTCTCCATGAGGATGAACCAAGCTGTGACTGAGGAGACTGAACCTGGGTCTGGTGCCTTGGTCCCACTGTGCAGTCACCTCTGAGCATTAACCTGACACCCCAAATTCGTCCCAGCACAAAAAATGTTGCTGCATTCACGTCTGGGGGTCATGTGCTGCCTCTGTGAGCGAACATATCCGATTGCATCTGATGGAGAGCCCATCAATTATAGATTTTTTGGAAGAGGGATGTTCACGAAGTGGCTGGAGCAAACCTTTGGTCTGTTCTCCCAGGAGTGTCTCGGGTTGTCTTTGTGATGCTTTGGCTGGTTGTGCCCACATCTCTCAGTTGTCTCAGTGGTGCCCAGTGGAAGGTCAAAGGGCACATCAAAATACAGGAAACTCAACTAAACCTGAGAAAACTTGTGGGACCTGTTTTGGGGGGGCCTGTTTTGGGGGGGCCTGTTTTGGAGGTGTGTTCCAAGCGGTGCTGTTGGTTCTGGGGCACACGCTGAGCTCCCGTGCCAGCCCTGCAACCTCATCTGGCTGCAGGGCAGGTCTGACAAGTTCTGGGGCGCTGGGGAAGCTGGAGGTGAGGATAAGCTGAGGGGCTGATTTGGGATCTCCTTACTCAGTCTCTTCCTAGTGACATACAATGCCTGGAGGAACTGTGCTGCTTAACCTGCTGCTGCTCATCACCCCAAATTGAGCACGACTGGGAGCTTTGGGACAGGTCTACCCAGTCACAAAGCCAGCAGTGGTGTTCCTTTGGGACAGGTCTGTCCAGTCACAAAGCCAGCAGTGGTGTTCCTTTGGGACAGGTCTGTCCAGTCACAAAGCCAGCAGTGGTGTTCTCCTGCCTCTTCAAGAGTGTTTTACTCACAGTAGCACCAACCTCCCCTTCCCCTTTGCTCCTCACCAGCTGCTTAAACAAGTTGTGACTAGGCTGATCTTTTGGTGCAGGAGATAACCTGGAGGAGAATTCCTCAGGAGTGCTTTTGATTACTGGCTGCCTTCCTGGGCTTTTCAGAGGGCTTGATGAATTCTGGGAATGTCCCTTTCTTTTATTTTTAAATTGTTCTTCTGGTTCCTGCTTTTGAGGCTGAGTGTTTACAGGTAGAAATGACTCAAGAGGAGAAACAAGTACTTATTAATTACTGCTCAGTTCTCCATCACCGTGGTCTCCTCTCTTCATTTTAATGATCTCCTCTTGTGAATCCATATGCTGAAGGCAGGAGACGTGCTGGCTCACAGCATGGGGAGGGAGTGGGCAGTCAGAGCTGCTGCTGAAGGCTCACAAGCATTTGTAGGGCTGCTTCTGCTCCTTCCTATATGTCAGATTGGAATTGGAGCCTTCTGTGAGCAGTTGGGACACACTAATCCAGCAGAACATTATCCATTTCCCAGGAGCTGCATTAATTTCTGCCCTGGGCTTGAGCTGAGTCTGATCATGGAAGGTCTCCTGGGCTGGCATGGGTGCATGGGGCGTGTGGGCCTCCTGCTCTGGCATGAGCTGGGCACTCAGTTCAGGCACTTTCTTAGGCTTGACTCATGCCCTGACTGACAGGGTGAGTGCTGGCTGTGCAGCGTGAGAGCTTCCTCAGTGTTTGTCCTGTTCCAAAGGAATCTGGTTGGGGGTTTTTTTTCCAAAAAACAACAATAAAAATCCTTTTGCCAAGAACACAAGGAGTTTTTCACTCCTTGTTACCTGCTGGAGCCAGCTGCCTCCCTCCCAGCACAACCATTGGAACCCGTGCAGCATCCAAGTGGTCCTCCTGCACCACAGGGCGTAATCAAGCATCCTAGCTCAAACTGGGGATGGAAATCGTAGGGATAAGTGGCTGCCTGTGCTTCCCAGTGGGTTGGGAAGCAATGGGTGAGCAGTGTCCATTGGCATTCAGGTGCTGGTCAGTGCCAAGTGTCTCCTGTCAGAGCAGGGTGTCTGTCCATCCTGGTGACACCAGTGTCCAGCTGTATCACTGCTTGTCCACGTCGTTCCCTACTCCCACGTGTGGGAAAACTCTTGTTCAAGCTTAATGTTGCCTTTTCCATCACCTGGATAATAATGGAGGCAAACCTTACACTTACTCCTTTTCCTTTCTCCTTATGTCTTCCCTGCGTACGGCCTGTCTATTTTTAACCCGGGGCCTCCAGATTTGTTTTCCTGAGCCCTCATGACCTCTGTGATATTTCGACTTTGGAATATTTAAGACACAGCATTGTAGGCATCCTGCATAGCCAGGCGTGACTATTGTTGTTGCCAGCTGAATAGTTGTTATTTTTTTGGCCGCTTCTGGCGTTCTCACCTTTCAGTGGCTCGGAGAGGAGCCCTCCAGGCTCCCTGTGTCCACTTGGCTATTTACAGCCGCTCCCAGCAGCCACGTTTATTAAGTTCTTGGAAGTGGAATCCTCTGGAATAGAAATCACAACAGTGCAGAGTGTCTGGAGGAAGGTTTGGTACAAATGCCTCGGCCCAGCGGTGCGTTGGGACGGGATAATTGTCATCTTTGGTGCTCTGGTAGTTCTGCTGATTCCCCTTGGAATTGTGGTTATTTTTCTTACTTTATATGGATCTAGATTTTCTTGCTTTATATGGGTCTGGATTTGTTAGGTTTTTGTATTTTTTTTCTTTTTTTTTCATTGTCTGTTCAGAGTGAGTCTGCTGAGAAAAAAATAAATCAAACCTGAATATTTTAATGCTCCTTCGGTCTTGCATCCCTGCAAGTGCTGATTGTGACAGAAGGTGGAGTGAGGAACTGGGTGCTCAGTTCAGAGCACTGGACCCCTCTCTTGAGCCTGGAGAAAAGGAGGCTCAGGGGTGACCTTCTCACTCTCTACATCTCCCTGACAGGAGGGTGGAGCCAGATGGGGATCAGGCTCTGCTCCCAGGGAACAAGGGACAAGAGGAAACAACCTGAAGCTGTGCTAGAGGAGGTATAGATTGGATATTAGGGAAAATTTCTTTACAGAAGGACTTGTCAAGCCCTGGCACAGGCTGCCTAGGACAGTGGTAGAGTCACCATCCCTGGAAGTGTTCAAAAAACATGTGGATGTGGCAGTTGAGGACATGGTTTAGTGCTGAACATGGTGGTGGTGCTGGTTGACAGTTGGACTCTGTGATCTTAAAGATCTTGTCCAACCATAGCAATTCTGTGATTCTCAAACTCGCTGTGATTAACTGCACACTGGAAGCTTTAAGTTTGGAGACTCCATTAATTTGGACTTGTTTACAAAGCACTTGTGTCTTGTTACCTGTAGTTTAAGAAACAGAGCATTTTAGAGAGGTGGGAACGTGTTCTTCTGGCACGTAAATGCCATTAATTGTCCATCACCTGCAGTCTGCCCACCACACATCTGTGGGTGGATCATCCAATAGCTGCTTCAGACTCACTCTGAAGTGGGTGTAATTCCTTGCATTAGAGAATACACTGGAAGCTGCAAACCATATTTTTCTTCAGTCCTCTTTAGTTCAATTCTGCATAATTTGCTTAGATCTTTACCTTCGATTTACTTAATTTATAAGACTCAATTTGCTTAATTTATAAGCAAAGCCTGAGCAGCAGGACTCAAGGCCCTCTGTCTTTGAGCACTGAGGTCCTTAAAATGAGCATGAGGAGGAGTGTGGTCCTGTGGGCTGGGTCTGGAGCTTCCCTTTTCAGGGATCTGCATCCTAGAACCCCTTCCATGACCATGAAGGGGAGCAGCTGCCTGCTGGACTCCTTGAATAAAAATTCCAGTAGCACTTTCTGGTTTTGAAGATCTTCTAAGTCATGCCTTGTTTTTTTGGTAGTAAATAAGTTCAAATGAATTCATGACTGGTGACACTTAGGTATCTATTAAAAATGTATTTCTGTACTGGAAGAAATAGGAAAAAATCCTGTCCTCTGAGTTTCCAGGCATGAAAAGCTGCTTAACAGAGGGGAGATGCACCCCTGGCTTACACTGCCAGGCAGTTCAATTTGTGTGGGTGTTGGGATTGATGTTGGTGAGTAATATTTTATGGTGGTATCATTCAGATGAAGTGTGGCTGGGCCCTGTAAGCAGGAGGCACAATTCCCCCAGGACCTGGAGTGCTGCTTGTGCCTGGAACTGGGCGTTTCTCTCATTCCTGTGATTCTGAAGCATCACAAACCAGTCTAAAGAAAGTCTCTGAGTGTGTTTTTTTTCTTTTAGGCTTAAACCAGCTGGCCTTTGACCCTGCCAGCAGCACTGAGTCCCTGCAGCTGGGCAGTGCCACTGGCCCCCGGGTGTCGGAGAGCCCGGCTGAGGATGGAAGTGACCCGGGAAAGAGGAAGAGAGCAATTCCTCCAGGTGAGCTGAGGGGCAGCTCCACTGCTGGCAGCAGGGAAGGGATCCACGTAGCATAGCCTAAATCCAGCTGCTGTGCTGGCTGTTGGTGTGGAAGGTGGACAGGTAGAGCTGTGCTCTGGTCTGGTGTGCCCGGAGCCATGCTTGGGTTGTGGGATCTCTACAAGGAGAACATGGAGACAGAACAAGGGGGAATGGCTTCACAGGAACAGGGCAGGGTTAGGTGGGATGTTGGGAAGAAATTCTTACCTGTGAGGATGGTGAGACCCTGGCACAGGTTGCCCAGAGAAGCTGTAACTGCCCCATGCCTGGAAGCATCCAAGGCCAGGTTGGATGGGGCTTGGAGCAGCCTGGTCAGAATTTGAATGCTTAGTCAGACCCTGTGTTTGTGTAGTGTCAGTGGCTCCACCTGGATTACCTGGTAGTTCTGCTCTGCTGGTCCTGCTGCTGACAACAGCACGTTGTTCTTTGCTTCCTTTCCCCTTTGAGTGTGGAAGAGAAGTGACTTCCAGTGGCAGTGGGAGGATTCTGCTGGGACAGCCTGACCAGTTCTGTTCAGTTGAGTGCAGTTTCACAGTTTATACCTGCTGGATGTGTGTCCTTTGTTCATAAATCTCTTGGGAGGAATCAGTGTCCCGTTACCTTTCCATCAAGGCCCCTTAGAGCTGTTAATTGCAGTGGATAAACCATAACTGAGGTGCTTTGAGGTGTTTTCCTAGACGTGGCTGCTGTAAATGTTGGCTGCTCCAGAGGGACAGCACTGGTTGTTTTTTTCCCATCTGGTTCTTCCCCGAGCGTTGGGCTCAGCTGTGGTTTTGGGTGCTGACACTGCAGAGCCTCACTGGGCAGCCTGTGCCCTGCAGCAGAGCTGGGAGCTGCTCTAAGCTCTTAATCACTTTTATTTTCCTCTCAGCAGATGGTGGCAGAAATCTGAGCCTGGACTCCATTCCGATGGGATTGCCAATGTCCGACCCGACCGCCTGGGCCACCGCCATGAACAACCTGGGGATGGCTCCCATGGGCATGACAGGACAGCCCCTCCTGCCTGGTGAGCTGAGCCAGGCCCTGCCCACCTTTCCTTTTGGACAGGTCTTTGGAAATAACCTGTTTCAGTGCAGTTGGGTAAACACCCACCATGCACACAACCACGTGGACAAGCTGTGCTTGAAATACGTTAAATCTCCAAGTGATTTATTTAGAGACCTGGTTTGAGAGGATACATATTTTTAAGTGCAAATAGTTATTCTGGGGTGCCTCTAGATATTCTGCAGTGGATGAGGAGGAAGAGGATGCCACGCAGAGCTCAGGAAACCGGTGATACCCAGGAACACGTTACTCTAAGCTGAACTGGAATGGCTTAAAAGGAAGGGTGGGAGGGAGATGAAGAGAAAAGCAACAGGGCAGCAAACTGGATATGGCAGAAATTAATGAAGGATTCTGTTCCAGGAATGACCACCTTGTCTGGAATACCTGTGCATGGGTCAGTCATCCTGTCCAGGGTGAAAGAGCTCCTGTGAGAACAGAGCTGGGCTGTGCCTTGTTTCCCCAGCAGTGCAGGATTTTGGACATCAAAGTCCTGAACTGACCTGACCATTCCAATGCTTTACTGCACTAAGGAGGATGCTCTCTCATGCCTGAACACTTGCCTGCTCACCTGGGGAGGGAATGTCTGTGTTGGCAGCACTCTGCAGTCCCATTTCTGCTCTTTTGGCACAGAGCAGGTTGTTTTAACAGCCCTAAGTTTTGCCTGCAGTCTGTGCTCTTGGAATAATAGAATCATGGAATGGTTTGGGTTGGGAAGGACCTTAAAACTCATCTTGGTCTACCCCCTGCCATGGGCAGGGACACCTTCCATTGCTTGGAAGGTTGCTCCAGGTTGCTCCAAGCCCATGTGTCACAGGTGTCTTTCTGTGGACAAACCTCACTGGGAAGTGCTTGACACTAGATGGGAGCTGGTGTCTACAGAGGGGAGAAGGAAGTAGTTTATTTTAACAGAGAAAAGTTATTTGACTGAGGCAATCAGCAATGAAATAGTTTTAAAAAGTTGTTTTAAGGGCACAAACCTGAAGTTTGATGTTACCATGTTCCCTCTCTGGTGTTTATTCAGCTGATTTGCACTGGCACGTGTGGGAGTGTACCTCATTTGCTGTCCAAGTTCACAGTCACTCTATGACTCCAAACCCCCCTGACTCCCTTATTCTTTCCCCCTTTTAGACTTTGATCCTGCTCTTGGGATGATGACTGGAATCCCTCCGATCAACCCCATGATGCCGGGCTTAGGGATCGTCCCACCTCCCATCCCTCCAGACATGCCTGCTGTGAAGGAGATCATTCACTGCAAGAGCTGCACTCTCTTCCCTCCTAACCCACGTAACTGTGCTTTGTCCTGTCTCTGTAGCAATATCTGTGTGTTTATATTTCTGTAAAACCTGGGGGGGTGTGAGAGAAGGGCCATTCCTGTACCTGGGCACAGCAGGTCTGGACTGAGTTGCTGTGACTCACTGCTGGCAGGAAGGTGACAGGGGCAACAGGAAAAGCCTGTTCTTGTCACTGAGTGTTTGCCATTTCCAGAAATAGCCTCTTCAGTTGTTAGGTTGATAAGGATGGGGAAGAAAACATTCCAGCCCCTGGATATTTGAAGCCTTTATCTAAGGCTTGGAGGTGAGGGGCATGGTCCATGCTGAGCCATGGGAGTGCTCAGGGGTTTGCAGAATGCAGTGGAAGGAGAGCAGGGGCAGTTGGAAATAAGAGAGAAAACTGAAGAAACACAGGGCTCACCAGGCTGTAGCAGGAAACAGGGATCCCCTTCACACTGGCTGATGACCCTTTCTCCTCTCTTCTGTGATAAGAACCAGAGGGGTGAAAACCAAAACAGACATGATACAGGGACATGTCTGTCATTGATAGTGTGGATCTGTGTGGGAGGGTGTAGCTCAGGCAGGAAAGTCTGCAGTGTGTGCAGTTGCAGCACAGAGAATCCTCTGTATACATTTGCCATGTATTATTTACACTAGGACAATTTTTTAAACTGTGATTTTTATAGCACCTCCTACCATGAAGTTTTGAGCCCCTGGTGCTGCCTGTGTTCTGTGACAGCAGCTCAGTGAGCCTGTGCTTGCACTTGAGAGGGTGTTTGAAGGGCTCCAGGCTCCTGAGATCTTTTGTTTGGAAACAGGCAGGTAAACATGTCCTTGAAGGACGCCAGCGAGGTGTGGTCGTCTCTCAGGAGAGGTGGACAGATGGTAGCAGGGAAGGATGCTGAAACTGAAACCATACACCGTTGAAAGCTCAACAAAACCAATATTTATTACAAAGAAGTGGCCAACAAAATGAGAAACTGAGAGACAGGAAAGAGGAGAGAGGGAAATAAGCCCTCAATAAACCCCCCACTCACGCAGGTGTTACTTAGGAGGTGTCCCCACAAAAGGCAGCACTGTCCTTCATGTGAGGCTTGAGTCTAACTCCGAGCACCAGCCATCTGCTTTTTATCCAACTTCCTGGTGATGTCTACCTGGGCAGGTGTGGCCAGCACTGCCCAGCTAGAGGCCTTCAGTCCCTCCCCCCCATTGTGTGAGTGGTGCCCCATCTGCACATGCACTTTGGAATTGCCTCGTGCTCGAGCACTGCACCTCAGGGGGTCTTTTCTAAATGAGTCTGGGGGTGTCCTTCATCACCCTCCTCTTCACTTTCTCCTTCAAATGCCCTTGGAAGGCCATCAGCCAATAGTAAGACCCCAATTAATTGTAGTTTGTCCAAAACGTTTCCTTCAAGGATGAAGTTCCCGTTTATCAGTGCTTGTTTTCTCATAACTTGGCAGGAAAAGGAGAGACTCTCACAGGTGGCTGGGCCAAACACAGACCAAAAGTATCAACATCTAATTAAACCCGGATACACAGATGGAAGGCACAGGTGCTGACGACCCAAAAACTGACCTGCTCTGATTTCTCTCTTCAGATCTTCCCCCTCCAGCCACAAGGGAGAGGCCCCCGGGGTGCAAGACGGTGTTTGTCGGAGGGCTGCCGGAAAACGGGACGGAGCAGATCATCATGGAGGTGTTTGAGCAGTGTGGGGAGGTCATCGCTATCCGCAAGAGCAAGAAGAACTTCTGCCACATCCGCTTCGCTGAGGAGTTCATGGTGGACAAGGCACTTTACCTGTCTGGTGGGTGTGTTTGTCTCAGATGGCAGCTTAAAATTCTGGGGCAGAGATGTGATCTTGTCATTTATAGGCAGAACAGTAGGATTTGGGGCAGATTTATCTGATGCTGTGTCAGTTTGCCCTTCTGCTGCCATTGCATTTCTGCTTAAATACGTGACAGCAGCTCCTGAGAGGAAAGACAGTGTAAGGTAAAACATATGGATTTCCCAAGAACACCAAGGCACTGGAAGGATTAAAAAAAAGGTTTATTTAAGATGCAAGGACCACTTCTTAACTATGCTGCACACACCGGGCCCCAGGGAAAAAAGGCAGTGCCCCGTCTTCTCCAAGGCTTTTTGTGTCTTCTCTCTCTCCTCACCCACTCTCTCTGGCCTGAGGAGGCTAGTACATGTCTGCAAAGATGTTACCTCTCTGCATACCAGGGAGAGAGGTAGCTTGCTCACAGCTTCTCCCTGCAACTTTCTCTGAAATGCGGAAGGGAGAACAAAAAACATCTAACCCATTTGAGAAGGCATTTTACAGCCTTCCTAAGCGAAATCGAGTTCTAGCTTTCCGTCACAAATCCTTCTGAAATAGTCCCTACCTCCACAGACAGCAATGCTTTGTCATCTGGAAACCTCCACAAAATATTGGGGCTGAGGTAGAGTCCATGCCCATCTCACCTGGATAAACATCCAGCTGATTCTTTAGACGGTGCTGAAGGGTCCCTGTTGCTCCCAATTGCTTATGAATTGGCCAGTGTGCTTGACTTTTGTGGGGATTTTGTCCCTTTGAGCCATCAAAGCCGAACCACCCCCCTCCCTGGGCTCCTTTTACCTGGGGAGCCCCACGTAAGCCTGACCACTTGTCATGCCCACCAGGCTACCGCATCCGGCTGGGCTCCAGCACGGACAAGAAGGACACGGGGCGCCTGCACGTGGATTTTGCCCAGGCCAGGGATGACCTGTACGAGTGGGAGTGCAAGCAGCGGATGCTGGCGCGGGAGGAGCGGCACCGGCGGCGGCTGGCGGAGGAGCGCTTCCGCCCGCCCTCGCCGCCGCCCGTTGTCCACTACTCCGACCACGAGTGCAGTGTGGTGGCCGAGAAGCTGAAAGGTGAGTGACTCTCTGGGGGTCGTGGCCACCCTTCTGGACAGAACTCTGTGTTCTCCTGGGGTTGTCTTGCTGAGCTGAGGTTGCCCCTGGCAGCTCTCCGGGCCGTCTCCCTCTCAGAATTGTTTCTTTTTGTCAAAACAAACCTGTGCCTGAATTTATATTCGTAGAATCCCGGGTTGGAAGGGACTTCAAGGCTCGCCTGGCCCAACCTTTCTTGGCAAAAGCACGGTCTAGGCCAAATGGCCCAATGTCCTGCCCAGCCCAATCTTGAAAGCATCTGATATCACAGAATCAGCTAGGTTGGAAAAGACCTCTGAGATCATCGAGTCCAACCGATGACCCAACACCACCATCAATTAGACCGTGGCACTGAGTGCCTCATCCAGTCTCTTCTTAAATACCTCCAGGGATGGTAACTCTACCACCTCCCTGGGCAACCTATTCCAGTGCCCCAATCACTTCTTCCTAATGTCCAACCTAAACCTCCCCTGGTGCAGCTTAAGACTTGTGCCTTCCTGTCCTACTGCTGGTTGCCTGGGAGAAGAGACTGACCCCCACCTTGCTACAACCTCCTGCCAGGGAGCTGTAGAGAGATATTGGGGAATCCAGCACTTCCCATGGCTGATTGTTCCCATTGTGAAAAATTGACCTCTTGTGCCCAATGGGAATCTCCCCAGGAATACCCATTCCCCCTCATCTTTTCCATGTGACTCCTTGTAAAAAAAAGGGTTTCCATATTTTTTGTAGCCACCCTTTATATCCTGGAACATGGTGACACGGTTTCCCCTAAATCTTATTTTCCCAAGACTGAACAAACCTTTGGAGTGCAACAAACTTGCGCAGATCAAAACCGTTCAGTACAAGTTTCTTCCAGAAAATTTTGGTTAAGGTTAAAAGGACTAGTATAAGTCCTAATACCTAGTTTGAAGCCTGAGACCCATGTTTGACCTGATAATTTTGGAGCTGGAGGGTATTTCCTTTCACAGAAGGGTACATCTGAGTAGACATGAAGTTTTGCAGTAGGTTTCTAGCAGTTGGTCCTCCTCTTGTTGCACCTCAGCAGATGATTTGCTCCATCAGTTTGGTTTTAGACTTTGCCTGCCTTTGTACAGCTGTGGGTTCAGATCATTCCATGCTTCCAGGAGTTGTGATGAGCCACCTGAAGGAAGCCGACCATTGAAAGAGCAGTTCAGCGCCAGGGAAAGGACCCGAAAGCTGCCCAGGCAACCCCATACCCGTGGTGTAAAGCTGTCCTTTCTTGCTACAGATGACACAAAGTTCTCAGAAGCCATCCAGACCTTGCTGACCTGGATAGAGCGTGGGGAAGTGAACAGAAGAACTGCCAACAACTTCTACTCCATGATCCAGTCGGCCAACAGCCACATCCGCCGGCTCGTCAACGAGAAGGCGGCTCACGAGAAGGAGATGGAAGAAGCTAAAGAGAAGTTCAAACTGGCTCTCTCAGGGATCCTGGTGCAGTGTGAGTAGTGTTTCCACACTGGATGTTGGTTGTCTGGTGTGGGGAAGACTCTCAATTTCTAGTCTGGAGAGGCCACACTAAAAGGGCTCCAGGAAAAGAAGTAGCAATGGCTTCCATGCAGCTACAGCTCATTTAGAATCAGGTGTCATTCACTTGGCAAAAACTCCTCGTGGTACTTTTTGCTGGGGTAAGAGTCCACATCTGGGGGGGAGGAGAGAATGAGTGCTGAATTTCTTTCCTCTTTTAATTATCATCTGTTAGTAGTTCTGTCATCTTTTCAACTCCTCCTGTGCACAGACAAGGTAAGTTCCTGGGAATCTGGTGCCTCAGCGAAGTGTGCAGGATTTATTCACCAAAGGTAGGACACAGCAGAGTGTTTCCAACAGCCTGTTGCAGAACCTGGGTCTTTCAAATCCCAGTGCTTTATTAAATGAGGAAATAAGGAAGAGGCATGGACTGTATTAATTCCAGAATGTGTTTTGTAACAGTTCCTCAGACCGTTCATTGCCTCTTACACATCTCTGTTAAAGTAAATCTGAGTATTTTTACTTCTTTATGAATACCTTCTCCACAATCGTACTAATTTTCTTTGATCCTCTTGCCTGGGTTGTGAACATTCTTAACTTTTGATTTTATATCTAATAATTTCAGCTGCTACTTGATTATTTTTTTTTTTAATTCTTTTTTTCTTTAAATTGTTACTGGTAAAAAATATGGGCACACGGTCCAGAGGGACATACATTGAGCACTGCAGAGTAAGTAATAATAGAGGCTGGTCTGTAACTCCACTCCCTAAAACACAGCTGAGATCTCAACCACTCTCAGGTTGGTCTGAGAAGCAGGGAGATGCTGTAATTGTTACGAAATAAAAACTACTGCATCACAAGCATAAGAACCCGATCAGGTAGATGTGCTTTGTGCTGTGGGTGAGCGCTCAGCCAAGGAGAAGCACTTTGTGTATCCAAAATGCTTTGGGAATTTTCTAGAGAAACAGAAGGAATAAATTTCAGGACCAAGAAAAGCTGATGGAAAGTGCCAGGATCCTTTTCCTGTAGGTCACACAGGCTGTGGCACTGTCCTTTGGGATGTCCCAAGGGCCAGAACTCATGGTTGTACCTCATCATCCCATTGTGGAGGGCGAGTCCTGCCTCCCTGGACTCCTTACACTCCCAACCAGCCTTGCACAGCAAATTTGGATATTTTTCAGCACACACATGCTGCCTTTTTTTCCCACATGTCCTGCCTATTTCCCAGCTGAGAGCAGAGCCCATTTCCCAGTTGGTCGTTACCCGGGAGTGTTTGGCAGAGGCCTGGTGAAGCCCACACTTCTCTTTCCAGGCACTGACCCTCTTCCCTGAGCGTAGCATCAGCACAGTACAGTGTTATAAGAAAAGGGTAGCCAAACCACCTGCCTGATTCCACTTTTTTACTCCTTTACTCCTCTTGTTCGCCCTCTCTGGATGCTATTCGGGCCCGATTTGCTGCTGATTTGACACTCCAGTCGAGCAGATAGTGGCCGTGTACCATTCTGCCTCCAAACAAAAGGCTTGGGACCATTTCACGAAAGCTCAGCGTAAGAACATCAGCGTGTGGTGCAAACAAGCAGAGGTTGGTAATCTTTTCTTGTGTTAGAATCCTCCAGCACGGTCTCTTGCTTGTCAGGATGTTGATGTTAAGTGTGCACGCTGCTCGCGTGGATAACAACACCTTCGTTCACAGCGTGAGGTGGGAATTGCTCACTCGGCTCTCGTGTTGCAGGTAATAAGTTTCCTCTTGGTATTCGTGTTACTTGTAGCAACATATGGAGACCTGTCTGCTGATTGAAGCTGTGCACAGTGATAGCAGTAATAATAGTAATAATAATAAATATTGATTTTTGTTCTACTGGTTTTAGTGTTAAAGGAAGAGGGATTTCTAGAGAGATGGTAAAAAAAAAAAAAAGCAACAACAAACCCTAAATGTCATCAGAATCTGTTTTATCACATTTTTATGTGATATTTTGACCTTGAGAGATGGAAATAATTGCAGCTGGACAGCCTGGAAAGCTTGAGGGAGGATGTTTTCAGATAAGGGAGTCAGGCAGAATGTCAGAAAAAAGGAAGCTAAGGTAAAGAAAGGGGGTCCATTGGGAAAGTGATGGTCTGGTTTGTCCTGGGGTCTGTGACCCAGGTGCAGGACCTTGCACTTGGCCTTGTTCACTTTCATGAGGTTTGATCCTACTCCTCCACACTGTCCTGGTCCCTTTGGTTGTCATTCCTTACCTCTAGTATAAATCATCCTTCAGTTCTGGGTTTTTCTTGGATATGGAGTTCCTTATTACAAACTTGGAATAGGCACATCTATCCCAGCAAAGCCAGGGGTTGTCTTTCACCTCTAAGATTATTTGACATCAAAAGTGAAATCGGGCAAAGCTGAGAGTCTGGTGGTCCGTGATCACCACAGGCTGGGCATGTCCAGGCCTGGGATCCCCATGGATTGGGGGTGTCCAACCCACCTTCCCATACAGCTGCTGCCTGGGAAGAATCTGTGGTGCTGGATCATACCCAGCCAGGGCCCTTCTGGTAACAAGAGGATGGTCCCTCCTCCACCATGGTGGAACACTCTAAATGGCTGTGTTGTCCTGGGAAGTTTCCAGCTGTGATCTCCCCATGGGTGTGCACTTCTGGGACTTTGAAATTCCCACTGAGTCAAACCTCTGTAGTAGCTAAAGGAGGAGCCAAGGTTTCCTCTCCACCTGAGAAGCCAGGTGCAGTGTGACTCAGACTGTTCTTCCACCCCGAGCCCCCAGTGCTCCCGTTCTTCCCTACTTTCTGATTGCTCGCTATGGCTGGGGTGGGAGCTCTCTCTCCAGTTGGAGCTGTCTTTTGTTCCAAGGTAAGTTCTCCCGGTGGGAAGAGGCTGTGAGACCACTGGTGAAGCCTCTTCCAAGAGCACTTGCTCCTGGGCTCAGCTTGCTGCTCTCCCCCAGCTTAGGGTCTGCTCTTAAATGAAGGTGGAGCCACAACATGCAGCTTCTTGGTACAGACTTTGACAGATATATATATGTATAAAAACATTGCTAGCATCTGCAATTGAAAATGTCTCTTACCTCATTGTACATATCACATGCTGGGTAAGGGGTATCTCAGCCTTTTGGGGTCACCTTGAGGAGGTCTCTGCTCGAGGGACACCCCACTCTGGTGCTGCACAGGTGGGCTCAGGGGGCTGCAGGTATTTGTAGTGCTAAGAGATGGACCTGTAGGCAAACCTCCTTTGCTGTACATGCAGGTGTGCAGCTGTAGCAGTCTTGGTTTGGTCTGTCCCAGCTCAGGCTGGGACTTCCTGGCTCCAGAGTATTTAAGGTTGAGCAGAATTCCCTGTGGTTTGCACAGCAAGTCTGACTTGTCTCGTCACAAGAGCAGAAGGAAGATGGAAGAGTCAATAACTGCAGTAGCACTGACAGATTGACTCATGCTGGGTATTGCCCTTGATTTAAGTCATCTGTGTCAATTTTTAAATCATTTCCCCTTTCTTGTGTCATGGAGTTGTGTTTTGCAGACTTATATTTCAGCAACATTTCATCCAACCAACCTGTTCCTTCTAATCTGTATTGAAATTCCCTCTACTTTCTGAACCCCAGGAAATCCGTAACATCCATAACGATGAGCTGATGGGCATCCGGAGAGAGGAGGAGATGGAAATGTCTGATGAAGAAATAGAAGATCCATCAGAGATGAAAGAAACGGAAGAATCAGGTAAAATCAATTTTTGCAGCTCATAAAGCGCTTGTCTTCAGCGGTTTCTTTCAGGAGACCCATTCTGAGAGTTTTGCACCCCAAAATGGTCATGGGCAGCGCAGAATCAGTGCAGTTCCCTGGAGCTGTTTCCTCTCAGTGCCTGGGTCTGCAGCCAGTGTTTCACTGCTCCCTGCCATGGTCAGGGGAACCTAAAGCAGTGTCTGAGCTGCTGTCCCTAGTGAAGTGTACTGGGATTGATGGAGCAGGATGTGGAGGAGCTGGAAGCTTTCTCCAGAGGTGAAAGCAAAGCCCTGCCCTATGGAAGCTAATCCAGAGACAGCAGCTCAGCAGCAGTGTTACACTACAAACCCACAACCTGCCTTCTCCTGGACATCATAGAATCCTAGGGTGGTTTGGGTTGGAAGGGACCTTAAAGATCATCCAGTTCCACCCCCTGCCATGGGCAGGGACACCTTCCACTAGCCCAGGTTGTTCAAGCCCTGTCCAGCCTGGCCTTGGACACTTCCACGAATGGGGCAGCCACAGCTTCTCTGGCAACCTGTGCCAGAGCTTCACTACCCTCACAGGGAAGAATTTCTTCCCAATATCCCATCTAACCCTGCCCTCTGTCAGTTTGAAGCCATTCCTCTTTGTCTTGTCACTCCAGGCCTTTGTCCAAAGTTCCTTTTCAGCTCTCTTGGAGCCCCTTTAGGCACTAGAAGGGGCTCTAAGGTCTCCCTGGAGCCTTCTTTTCTCAGCTGGGAGGCTGAACCCCCCCAGCTCTCCCAGCCTGGCTCCAGAGCAGAGGGGCTCCAGCCCTGTGACATCCCAAACAGTGCTTGGGAGGCATTTCTTTGGATGCTCAGCACTTTTCACCGGGAGCTGCTGAGCCCCTGTATGCAGTGTGTGAGGGGAAGAAGCACCCAGGAGCTTCTTGCCCCCGGGTTGTTTGACTTTTGTTGTGTTCCCAGCGCTGGTGTCGCAGGTGGAGGCGCTGAAGGAGGAGAACGACAGCCTGCGCTGGCAGCTGGACGCCTATCGCAACGAGGTGGAGCTGCTCAAGCAGGAGCAGGGCAAAGCCTCCCGGGATGAGGACACCACCAAGGAGCAGCAGATGAAGCTCCTCCAGCAGGCCCTGCAGGGCATGCAGAAGGTGGGACCGGAATTTTCTGTAGCAGAGGCAAAAGGGGCTGGGATTGGGGGGGGGCAAAAACACACGTGAAAACACTCCGGCTTTGGTGGGATCCAAACAGGCAGGTGGGAGCGACTTTGTCGTTACCAGTGTTGTCAAAAAAACCCCAAATGACCAAATAGTTCGACTGGTGGCTGTATGAGCTGGTGAATCCCATGAAAGTGATTCATAGTTCATGGATTCCTTGTGTGGTCTTTGCTTGACCCTACTGTGACTTCCAAAGTACCAAGCCTGTGTGCCCCTATAACTGAGTAAGAAAGTGGGAAATCCATCCATTGGTGATGGAATTACTGTCCCATATTTACATAGTATGCTAATAGGCAAAGGTATTTCTAAGGTACATTGTAGATTCTTCTTGGTTTATGCTTTACCTTGTAGTAGTTCTGTATATGACCTGTCTGGTCTTCATGGAAAAACCCTTCTTTGTTTTATAGTCTTTAAATAATAGGAGGTGGAAGGCAGGTTAAGAACTGAGTTTATCTTTTCTCTTCCAGCATCTTTTGAAAGTCCAGGAGGAATACAAAAAGAGAGAAGCAGAGTTAGAAAAAGTGAAAGAAGACAAATTAAAAGTGGAAACGTTACTAGAAAACCTGAAGGAGCAGGTATGTGTCATCCAGGGCTTCTTTGTGCAGTCCTTGGATTCCATGGTCCATCAGGAGCGTGGTGAAGGACCTCTGTCCTTCTGTAATCTTGTAGAGGATGCCCAACCCTGGTAGGAGCAGTGGTTCTTGGAAAGTGAGGAAAAATGAGCTGTTAAATTGGAGGATGTCTGTCAGTAATGGACCTGCTGGTGGCTTCATGTACCTGTGAGAACAACTGTATAAATAAATAGTAACTCTCATTGTGCACAGCTGGTATCACAGCTGGAATGGGGTTTTCTGCAATCTGAGCTTTACAAGATAAGAAAAAAGGTCTCAATTATCAGACATTGGTTTTTAGATTTGTGGTTTAAGGGCATGTTTTGATCTGCCCTCCTTAAACCACTATGGAATTGAAAGTTTTTGTCACTGGTGTAATATTTTTATGCTTGCTTTATTCCAAACGTAAATGCATAGTGCTGCTTCTCAGGTGTGATCCACTCTGCTTTCATTGTGGATCCCTGCATGACTCTACACTTGCTTGGTCCTCTCCTCTGTAGCACAGAGACAATTACACAGGAAACATGAGGCAGCACTTCTCCCCATGGCCCATGGAGCCAGATGCTGGGTTTTATCTCAGGTTTTCCATCTTTAGCCCCATTTTTTTTTGTGCCATGAGCTAGGGAAGACAATGAATGTCTTTCTAGGAACTAAATATGGCTTTGTATATCCCGGTAATGATCAGAGCAGGAGCCTCAGAAGAGAAATAATAGATTATCATCAGTAATCTTTCCTTTCTTTGCCCATATGTAGCAGAGCATGGCAGATGAAGAGGACAAGGAGGGAGATACAGCTGATTGTCAAGGGAATGTGAGTCCAAGAGCTTCTTTTCTCTTATTTCAGACAGAATCTCTCACTGATGGAGTAACAACACCTTAGTGTAAAATGAGCAGTGGTTTATGGGTTAGTTTGTGTGAGGTGAGCCTGGTACAGACAGATTGGCTTCATGTTGAAGGGAGAGGTTCTTCCCCCAGAGGGTGGTTGGGCACTGAACAGGCTCAACTTGTCTCTGGATCAGCTTCCACAGGGCAGAGCTTTGCTTTCTCCTCTGGAATGTGGAAGCTCAGGCCATTTGGGCACAGCCTCAACCCTGTGTAGCTGAGAACTGCACTGATGTATGAATTTGAGCAGACCCAGGGGACAATTCAGTTCTATGTTTGTCACTGGCCCCCCTCCAGCCCATCTCACTGGTGACTGGAAGCTGTTCCCAATTATAGCTGTCCACAGCTCTCAGGCCACTGGAATTCCGCATAAAACTCAGGAATAAAAGCAAGTCCTGCTTTTGGTGCACCCACCATCTTTGCATCGCTGTCAGACTTGTGTTTATTTCAGAGATAATAAATTATGCCAAATTCTCTTTTAATTCAGTACCACAAACTCAAGTCAGGGACAGTCTGATCCTGAACCCTGGGTGGGTGGCCCCTGGGCACTTGGTCCATCACATTTGCCTCAGTTTGGGCATTTGAAAATTAAAGCTCTTCAGCTGAATTAGCCATGGCAAGGCTTCTTGCTCTGGTTTGTATTTTGTTATTTAAAACATGACCCTTCTGGAGCAGACATCGTGTCACAGAGCAGGGCTGGGGCACTGAGTGTGGTGGCATCTGGCTGAACTCCGTGGGCTTTTCATCTCACTTGGTAGATCACACACAGGACCACAGGCACGGCTGTGCTTTGTTGGAAGCATTTTGGAACATAACCAGTAGATACACCAGTGATGGGTGCAGTGACTCAGAGAAACAGGAGAACCCCAGGGCAGGCTCTGAGCCTGCCCCTGCCTGGTGTGCCAGGGTGGCTGCTCTTGCCTGCAGCGGGCCCTGTGGTTTTGTTTTGCAGGAGAGCAGCACATCCAGAGTTTGTGCCTGCAGCCAGGAGAAGGAATGTCCAGTGGAGAAGACATTGAGCAACAGTCCTGTGAAATCTGAACGAGAAGTTCTCCTAGTTGGTGAGTTCTGAGGGGCTTGGTGGTGATGCTGAGCTGGGGGGACTTGCTTCAAGGTGGCCTCGCACTCCCTCTGGCCTCCTTTGGTTCCTTTGGTTATCCCAGGGGAGGTGGGAGTCCTGGAACCAAGGAAAACCTTGAGCTTTGGCGGGGTCATGGTGTCACTTTGTGTGACACACACAGGGTGTCACCCTGTGTTCCCAGCTGGTCCTTGTCTCATGACAATGACATCTGTGGTGTTCCTTTCCCCAGGAATAATTTCCACGTTTCTCCACGTGCATCCCTTTGGAGCCAGCATTGAGTACATCTGCTCCTACCTGCAGCGCCTGGACAGCAAGGTGGGTATGGGGACTGGTGGGGGCTGGACAGAGAGGACTGCAGGAATCTGTTCCCTGCAGGAATCTGCTGGAAGGGGTGAACTTTCTTGGAATCACACAGTGGTTTGGGTGGGAAGGGATCTTAAAGCCCATGTCATTCCACCCCCCTGCCATGGGCAGGGACAGTTGCTACTAGACCAGGTTGCCCAAAGCAGCTCAACTTTGGGGTTCTCCACAAACCCATGTCCCCAAATGCAACATCCACATGGCTTTTAAATCCCTCCAGGGATGGGGACTGCACCACTGCCTTGGGCAGGGAAAAATCTCCCTAGCATATGTTTTTGTTTATTCTGTTGAGTTTGCTGCCTTTGGGCAGTTTCCCTTTATTTTCCTTATGACCTCCAAGGAGAGGAGCAAACAACCACCTTGTGCATTAAACATCTCACACCCTCTGCTGTGGCCCTGTTTGTGTGTGTTCTCCCTAAACTGAGCAGTCAGTCTGTCTCTGAGCGAAGTTCTTGGTTTTTTTTGATCCTGTCACCCTTCCCTGAGCCTGTTCTGTCTCTGATCCTGTTGGTGGGGTCCTTTTTAGGGGGTCTGTGGGAAGACAGGGGTCGATCCCTGTTTGTGGGGTGACTGAGGGCAGTAACCAGCCATGCTCATGCTTTTTCCATGGCACAATATGGAGCTGCTGTGTCCTGCAGAATTCCTGTGTCCTGCTGGCTTCACACTCCTTTGTTGGAGTAAATGGGAGCAACTGTGCAAAGGCTTTGGGATGTTCAAGGGAATTTCATCTCGCTCCTCTGCTGTCCTTCAGTTGTCTTCCCAGGAACAGGAGGCTCACCAGCAAGGGAATCATCTCTTGGGATTGGAACTTCTGTGCTGCTTGTGTTTCTGACTCAGTGTTTAATTTACCCTGTTCTAAGAAAACAAGACTCCCTGGCGTGACTCACTCCAGCCCTACCAAGACAGAGTTAACAATTTATCTCCTCATTCTAGCTTGGAATTTGTCTGTGAGGCCAACAGCTGCCTTTATTTTGGTTTGGAGCTCTTAAAAAAAATGCCATCATAGCATTCAGCTGCCTTCTGGCACTTCCTCTTTGGAATCCACAGTGCAGAGCAGGGCTGCTGGAAGTTTCTGCTGCCAGCTTGGGAGAAAAGGCCTGTGCAGAGCCCACTCTTGAACCTCTGCTGTGGCATCAGTCTCCTCTTGCTCCCTGACACTCTGGGCTCTTGTGCCTGCTCCCTTGGAAGATGTTCCTGCTTGTCCTTCGGGTTCCTCATGAGCTCTTCTGTCTCCCTCTTCACTCCTGCAGGAGCTCAAATTAGTTTGGGTGTTATTCTTAATTTCTAGCAGATCTTTGGGCCTGAGGTGAGGCAGGAGGAGAGGGAGTACCTGAAAGTACAACCTGATTTCTTGAAGCTGCCAGGACAGGAAAGGACAAGGAATGTCTTTCCCCCTGTTCCGTGCCCATCAGTCTCACCAAGAAGGTCAGCAGAGAGCACAGAAATTAGGATCAAAGGTAGTTTGGAGGCATGAAGCAGCCCTTCAGAAGCTGTCTGTAGCCCTGAATGGGGCTTGGCAAGGCCTTGGGCTGACAAACTACCCAAGTCACCTGCTCAGGTTCCTTCTCTGCACCGATGCAACCCCACTTGGCTCTGTTGGAGCAGCTCCTGTGCCATCAGACATGTGGGACTTAAAATAAAAAAAGGTGAAAGTGCTCCCTGTTCAGTGACTTAAATACCTGGGAGGTTTTAATCCATTATCCACAGGGGAAAAAATCCAGACAGTCCCTTTACCCTGACTTCCAGTGTTCATCCTTGCAGCCATCTCACCCCAAAGCGGGACAGCAGCACAACTCACCGTGTCCCAACATTATCCCCACGAGTCCAGGGAAAGCCCAGATGACCTTCAACAATTAAACCATTTGAGTTTGGGTATCTCCAGTCATCACAGGGCTTCCATCTGCATGTTTAGTCATGTTTTCCTTGTGTTCCTACAGATCTGCACGGCGGAAGTGGAAGTTCTCATGACGCGACTCCAGAACACGTTCCGGCAGGAGCTGAGCGGGGTTGGGGCCAGCTTGGAGAAGAGGTGGAAGTTTTGTGGCTTTGATGGGTTGAAAATGACTTGAGCTTTTGACTTAATGCTGAAAACAGCAGGATATGGACACCGAGAAAACCCGGGATGCTGTTCCCCCTGTTCCCGATGATTCCCTCGCACGCTCCATGGCCCCGGGGTACAATGTGTAAGTGAAACAAAGTCTGGAGCCACCACTGGAAGAACCCTCAAGTTCTGCAGCTCCTTTGATCAGTTATTTGTTAATGGGCAAGTGCTGTTCAATATATTTGGGGAAAAAAGCTCCTGCCTGACCCTTTGAAGCCCAGCGTGTCAACTCTGTTCTGCCAATGTTGTATGTGTTTGTGTGCCCAAATTCTTCCCCCTCAAGCTTCCTACCAGCAGGAACTGTCATAGACTACCAGCCATAGACTGTCCTGAAGCAACAACAAAGAGGCATTTTCTGGTTTCTAGATCACCAAAAGGGGGAAAAAAAAAAAAAAGGCATTTTTTAGCCATTTCTATGACTAAAACCCGAGGTATGTTTAGATAGAAGATTCAGATGGCTCAGGGCTCTCAGAGCCAAGGAATTGGTTCTTTTTCGTGCTGTTTTCCCTGTTAGCAGTTAAGTTGAGGTGGGGGCAGAGCCTCTGGGAGCCAGGGGGGGATTCTGGCAGTGCCACTTGTGCTCTGGGTCAGTCCGTAACAAATTTCTTACATGGGAAGGGTGTTTTATTTTCTATGGATGTGGGTGGAGCAAAGAAGCTACATCAGCCTGGGTTTTGGTGATTTTTACCACACGATTCCTCTCCGCCTGCTTTGCTTTGGAGACTGAGCTACAAGCAGCACAGACTTCTCTGCTCCTGAACCTTCCCACCACTGTCCCTCATGCTCCCAGTGCCTTCCAGGCTCCTCCCCAGCCCTCTGCAGACGTTGGTGAGGTGCAGGGTAACAGCCTGCCCAGATATCCCTGTGGATTTTCCTGCCCTCCAGCCTGCTGTCACCTGCAGAGCTTACAGCCATTCCTTGAAGCGTTCCCGTTCTGCAGGGCATCCTGACATGTTCTTGTCATGGCAAGTGTCACAGTTTTCCAGCTGCACACTTCCAGCCCCTTCTCTGTTCCCCACATGGTGGCCATTGGTGTAGGTGCCCTTCAGTTGGGCTGTTGATCCCACCACGTTTTTGGGGGAGAAGCCCCAGTTCCTATGTGCCTGTTCTTGGGTGCTTCCCTGATTTCTGACCCATCCACAGTTCTTGTGTCTTTGCTGCCGGGGGTTCTCTGCCCCCTGTCCCCTGCCATGGCTGAGGTGCTGCCCACATGAGCACAGGGATACTTCAGGTGTCTCCAGCACAGAGCAAACACCTGCTGTTGAAACCAACCCCTCACCAAAAACCTGCTGCTGATGTTGGACTTGGAGTCAGGTATTGACCTGCTGGCCCTGCCTGTTCCTCCCCTCGTCATTCCCTGCAACTGGAAGGATAGAGGAGGGCAATACCTGTGCTCCTGATCCCTTAGCCCTGAAGTCTCTCTGGATCCCTCAGATTTCTTCCTGCAACTTCACCCTCTAACCCAGTTGAACCGTCATCCTTGTCGTTGCTTCCACTGGCAGAGCCTGGTACCGGTTCTCCCGAGGTGCTGGGGGAGCTGGGATGGTCCTGGGAGAGACACATCTATTGTGCCAGGTGGGAACCTGTCACTGTGTCCCCCTGGCCCTTGGGATCAGCCAGGTGGAGACAGGACAGAGTGCTGTGTGCTCAGTGAGACTGTCCCTGGGAAAATCAGGGAAGAAACTCCAGAACCAGGACTGTTTCAGAGCCCTGAGTGCCTGGAGCACAGCGGAGCTGGGGCAGACATGACATCAGTGGGATGAGTGGGCCCGGGGGCTGGATCTAACCCAGGGTGGGAGCTCACACAGCACAAGGACTTGCTGGGTCCCAGTCTCTGTCAGCTGCAGGGTGGGAGCTGGGATGGGGATGGGCCACCCTGGGAGGCCAGAGCCCCCTCCTGTGGGGCTGGGAGGGCTGGGGCTGTCAGGAGGTTGTTCCTGGGGGCAGCAGGAAGGGGCAGAGCCAGGACCTACAGAGCAATGGCTGGTGCTGTGGAAGCGAGTCAGGACCAGAGCAGTGCAGGGTCCTGCTGCCTCCCCTCTCCCACCTTTCCCTACAAGGTCCCTTTCAGAGGGACTGAGGTTTCCCCCGGAGAAATCCACCCTGCAGATGGGCTCCCTGGCCAGCAGGGAGGCAGGTGAGGTGCCACTGCAGGTGCCAAACGCTCTCTGTCTTCAGGGAGAGCTCGGAGTGGTCACCCCTGGAACTGGGACAACAGTGAGAGTCCTGCCCACAGCCTGCTTGGGTGCAGGGGTGGGTGACAGGGACCTTCCCATTGGGACCAGGCTGCTCCCAGGTGGGCTGTTGCTCTCTCTGCTCCTGACACCCAGTGCTTGCCACACAAGGAGCAGATGAAAACCCTTTAAAAGAATGTTCTGGATAGTTGTGTCCCTGCAGATGAATGCTGTATTTTTAAGGAATAAACATTTTTCTAATGGGCAAATCTCGGCCCTGCTGCTTCCCTTGCTTTGTCTAGTGTTTGTTGCCTGCCAGGGAAGAGGAGGGACTCCATCCCAGGTCCTCTGCCATGCTCCATCCCAAGTCTTCCACCACTGTGGGGCTTCACCTTCCTTGTGAGTGTTGAGAGCTCCCTGCTTCCTCTGCAGCCTCTCTGATGATGTCTTCCCCAGGCAGTGAATTTGGGATTCACGACCTCTTTCCTCCCTCAGAGCAGCTGGACTTTGCAGACTGTGGCAGTGTTGGGGTGGATGTGGCTCAGCAGCACCAGTTTATACTGGTGACAAGGATGGGCAGTGAGGTGATGGCAGAGAAAACAGAACTGGGCAGCCCACCCCAGGGGGCAGCTGCCTCTGGAGGGGGTTCTGTGCCTTGGCTGCGTGTTTGGGAGGAAGCTACAAGTGGGGCTGTGGCCTCAAAATGGAGCTGCCTTGGGGAAGGGAGCTGGTGGTGACTGGTGGCTGCTGGATCGGGAGAGCCGGAGATCCCTCGGGCAGCAGGAAGGGCAGAGCGGGGGCCCAAACAAGCAGGAGGTGTCAAGGGTGAAGGGGAGCCTTCCCTCCTGGGGAATGATGCTCTGGAGATGCAGAGCTGGCACGTGTTGCCCAGAGAAGCTGGGGCTGCCCCATCCCTGGAAGTGTTCCAGACCAGGTTGGACGGGGCTTGGAGCAACCTGGGACAGTGGAAGGTGTCCCTCTGCCCACGGCAGGGGGTGGGATGAGATGAGCTTTAAGGTCCCTTCCAACCCAAGCCACTCCACCATCATCACCACGTCATGGCTGTGGTCCCCAGGGAGCTGGTGGGTGTGTTAGCAGGCAAGGAGGTGCCAATTTTGGGTGTTAACACGTGTTTTGTGGGTCGCTGTAGGTTTGTGAGGCTCTTCAGGGTCTGTAACCCCCCAGGGACAACCTGTGAGCTGTAGATCCATCCTCTCAGGCCTGGGAGCTTCTCAGTACCAGAACTCTGCAGGGACCCTGCATCCCCCAGGCCCGTGGTGGGTGTGGAGGGCATCCCTGTGCCCTGCCTGTGCCAGGCTCCGCTGGAGACACGATCACTGGGAAGATGCCATGATGGAGCAGTGGGAAGGTCTGCATGGAGAGCTGAGGTGGAAACCAGCTGCTTGGCCCACACTGACCAGTCCAGGCAGCACATTCCCAGTTCAGGTTCTACCTGCTGGAACAGCCAGCGCTCCGGTGGGTGTCCTGGTGCAAATGGATGGGAAGGCTCAGGATGGAAGGGATTGAGCAATGGTGGGTCCCTGCCAAGGCACAGTGTCCGGCGTGGGAAGCGCGGCTCCTTCCATCTAACCCTGCCCTCTCTCCACACGCTGCTTCTGGCTCTCGTTTCTTTTGGCAGAAAATTCACATTCTCATCCGCCCTCTCCTCCTCTCGGCTGTGGCGGCTCCTCTCCAGCACTTCCCTGCTTCTCCTCCTGCCTGTGGGCTGGGGAGGGACCCCAGAGCCACAGTGGAGACGCTGCTGTGAAAGGAAAGAAGAGCCAGGAGCTCCAAGAGCTGCTGGTCCTGCTGTGAGAGGACACAGGGAAGGTAAATGTGGGCTCTTTTTTCCAGCTGGGAAGAGAGAAGCTTTGCTGCTGAAACTGGCAGAGCAGCCACAAATCCTTGGGAATGGAAGGGGCGGCTTGACTGAGCTTCTCCCCATGAGATTCCATAAGGAAGCCCTACTGCTCTTTTCGAGTTAGTAAGATTCCTGCTCTGGCATCCCCCTGTGAAGGAGGATTTGTGGGACTGGCTTTGCCCCTGCTGTGAGCAGCGTTTCCCTTCCTGCGGGGAGCCCTGGTGCCTGCCCGGGCTGAGGGAGCCCTCCTGTCCCACAGGGCTCTGCAGGGATCACCCACCCCTGTCCCCAACAGGGACACCCACAGAGCTGCTGCTCCGCCGGGCTGGGGCTGCTTTTCCCCATTTCACCTGTTCCCAGGGCATAAACCCACAGCTGGAGCAAGAAGCAGGGGCAGGCGTTTGGGGTTAACTCCTGAAGGATGAATTTTGGGAGCACCAGCGGTGGGGGCACATCACTGGGCTCTTCTCATGGCGCCTGCGGTCGGGCAGATAAGCAGCAGCTTGTCCGGACTTCTCCTTCCTGCCTTCTCCTTCCTGCCTTCCCTCTGCTGCTCCCTCTCCCAACCGGGATTCCTTCTCCTCCTCACCCCGCGGCAGCCGCATCCTCCGGGACTCCGCTCAGGCAGGGGCTGTGCCTGCGGGCTCTGCCGGAGCGCGGAGCTTCACCTGCACGAAGGTAATTCCCTTCGGGGGTGTCTCTCCGGGGATTTGTCCGTCCGTCCAGCTGCAGTGGAGCTGCTCTGTCCTGCCAGGAGCTCCCGACTGGCAGCGCTGCTGCTCCTCCTTCGCTCCAGATGTGGCAGAGGCGCAGGAGCTGTCCCTGGCACACGGAGATGCTCTCAGCTGTCACAGACAAGGTGTCACCTGTGCCCTCCCCAGCCGGGCTGTCCCAGGGGAGCAGGATGGGACTTAAACCCTCCCCCCTATATTGCGTTTATTTTACTCTGCCAGAGGGCAGGGTTAGATGAGATACTGGGAAGGAATTCTTCCCTGTGAGGGTGGGGAGGCCCTGGCACAGGTTGCCCAGAGAAGCTGTGGCTGCCCCATCCCTGGAAGTGTTCAAGGCCAGGTTGGATAGGGCCTGGAGCAACCTGGGCTAGTGGAAGGTGTCCCTGCCCACGGCAGGGGGTGGGACTGGATGGGCTTTAAGATCTCTTCCAACCCAAACCAGCTTGGGATGCTGTGATGTAACTGAATTTCCTTTTTGTTGTGCCCTTCTGACGAGCTCTAAACAACTGTTTTATATTTATTTCCTTCTTAAATTTATGTAACTTTCTAAATACCTCAGGGAATTGAAATTGAAAACCCGGCCAAAAAGAACCAGCCCCAGGGGCTGGGGGTGGCCAGCACTGTGCTGGGGCTGACACGGGAGACCTGTCCCGCTCCCGGGTGTCTCACCCTCATCCCTGGAGACTTCCAGGCATGTGTTTGTCATTCCTGCCTCAAGCCCTCTTTGGGGAGGCTCCATTCACAGCCTGTACTCCGCCCTCGGCCCTGTTTTCCCTCTGCTGCTGGCGTTGCTCTTTGGACCGTGCCGGGCTGTGCCGGGTGCCAGGCCTGTGGCACAGGAGGCACCGGGCTGGAGGCACCCAGGTCAGTGTGGGGTGAGGAGCCACGTCCCTGTATGGGCTCTTCTGGAGGCTGCACACAACAGGGAGGGCTCCCCAAAGGTGTGGGAGAGGGGATGGGGTGTTGGTGCGGGGCTGGGGGCTGTGGTCCAACCTGTGCTGGGGGAAAAGGGAGATCTGGTGACGTGCAGTTGTGATTTACAGGAGGTGAATCATAGAATCATGGAATTGTTTGTCTTGGGAGGGACCTCAAAGCTCATCTTGTTCCATGCAGGTACACCTTCCACGGTCCCAGGTTGCTCCAAGCCCTGTTCAACCTGGCCTTAGACACTTCCAGGGATGGGGCAGCCAGAGTTTGTGCCTCATATATCTTTCAGGGAAGAATTTCTCCCTAATATCCAGTCTAAATCTCTTCCTTTGATGCCTCCATGGCCCTTGCTTGGAAAGTCAAAGTGGGATGGTGTGTCCAGGGCACCTGCAGCCCCACTGGCTCTTCAGAGAGGTGGTGGAGGGACAAGTGTCTCCTGCAGAGACTCCCTGGGCTGTTTCCAGCAGCTTCTCTCCAAAAGCTGGCAACCCTGCCGTGTGCTCCTGACTCTTTTATTTCACATATGTGTGTTTTCCAGAGGACTTTTGTCTCAGCTGCTGTGCCAGGCCCCTGGGATGCAGCCCGTGGCCCTGCAGAGCCTGTCAGAGCTGGAAAGGGCCAGTCTGCAGGAGCTCGCCCTGTACCGGCTGCAGGAGAAGCTGCTCGTGGGGGATTTCAGCCTGGACAGAGGTACAGGGTGGGAGAGAGTGGAGAGGGTGGGAGAGGATGGAAACCAAGGCCCAAGGAGGGCTGAGGCTGAGCCATTAATGGTGCACGTCCCCACTCCAGTCTGCGGGGTGATGGTTACGGAAAGACATTTGTGACACATTTTGGTCCATTTTGTTTTTTGTTCCTGCTTTGGTCTGAGCCCCAGCGGCTCAGTCAGCCTTTGGAAGGGGTTTGCATGTCCACAGGAGTGTGAGAATGTGACCCTGCCCGTGTCTGCCTCCAGTCTCCCCCTAACCCAAACCAGATGTGATGGCTTGGCGAGGTCCCCACTGGGATTGCCTGAGTGCCGCCGGGTTGGGACAGGCTTTGCTGTTTGGATCCACATCCAGCACAAATTCCCAGTGCTGGGAAGGGGCTTATGTGAGACTGGAAGACGCGCTGGGAGATTAATGGGTGGATAAATTTAGGAGCTCCACAGGGACTGAGCATAGAGGCCCTGTCAGGGTTCCCAGGGCTGCCTGTGTCCCCCAACGTCCTCACAGCAAACTCAGTGAGCTGGGCTGCCACTGACTCCTTCCCACACTTACTTGTTACCCCCTTGATGTGCCTCCTCTGCCCTGGGCCATATTTTGGCATCCCAGCAGGGCAGGGGGTGCCTCCAGCTCACCACCTCTGGGGTCATGGGGTGCCAGCAGAGGGAGCTCAGAGTTTCCAGTCCCCGCATCGCTTCAGCAGGGCTGTCACCAGTACCAGGGCAGCTGGGGCTGGGACCTCCCAAGGATGGAGACCCTGCAGTCTCTGGGGACCTTTCCCAGGGATGGAGCATTTCCCAATGGGCAGCAAGTGACACCCGAGTTTGGTTCCTTGTTTCAATTACTATCGGTAAGGTTTCACGCCATGAAACAAAACTTCATTCATGAAATGGCTTCAAGAAGAGTCCAACAAAGTTCCCCTCTCCCTCCCAGAGCTCCAGTTGCTCCAGGGCTGCAGCAACAGTCCCTGAGGGACTTCGACCACAAACATCCTGGTTCTTTTTATATTTCATTTTATTTTGGGCTGTTGTGATCCCATTTGCAGTGACACCCTGCAGCAGTGGCTTCTCTAGGGACTAGTGCAGTGCCACCCCCCCACCCCCAAACCCAGTATTTCCTTCCTGGCTGGTTAATGTGCTGCTGGATAATTTTTTTGGCTTCTACACTCATGTTCCTCATTCCAGCTGTCACAACTTTCCTCTAAATCTTACAGAATAACCCAAACAACTAGATATAATCTGTTCCTATGAAGAGAATTGCTTAGGAATGAGGAGCACGACCCAGAACAGGGTGATGGTGGATGAGGGGAAGGCTGTGGATGTGTCTACCTGGACTTCAGCAAAGCCTTTGACACCGTCTCCCACAACACACTCCTGAAAAAGCTGCAGCCATGCCTTGGACAGGGGCACTCTGTGCTGGGTCAGGAAC